CGTCAGAATCGTTATGCGCCTGGGATTGAAGGCTCCAATTTGTAACTGCCACCGGAATTTGGATGCCGGAATTGAAAGTGTGAAGAGGAAACATAATCGTCATTGCTATACACTATTCCTCCAAATTGCCAACCATTGTGTCGCTGTATCAACAGTTCTGGCATTGATGAAGCCTGCAAAATGAACAAACGAAATATGGCCACTCAATGGCACTCAATATCTCCCTCTAAGCGGAGTCAATGAGGCCCATAACTCATAAGCCACTGGCTATAATCCAAATAACAAAACAGAGTAGTATGTAAACGCGTCAAGGAGAGGTAGACTGAGCATGAACTGGAAGGTCGCTGAAAAGAGGGAAAGCGAAGAAACCGTCCAGTTAAAAGAAGGCCTCAGATCTGTCTCAATAACTGATTGTGAACCCGCTCCCCACCGGTCGGCTACACCTTCCTCCATTCCGATTGCTCCTTGCGCTGGGGGTGGATCCTTCTGAAATGCACATGATTGACGCCCTCCCCGTCGCTTCAGGATTGTCTTCGTGTTCCTTCGCTACAACATGTGTCTGTGTATTCTTGTCTTCAAGTGGATCTGCGCCTGCGGAAGAAGAAGAAGGTCGTCGCGACTCTGTTTCCTCTCCCGGCTTGATCTTGGCAACCATCGCCGCCTGCCTCGCCTAGGCCGGATTCCGTTGATGGGAACCGACGGATGCAAAGAAACTGTCCACCACCTGTCACCACCGCATCTCCAAAGCCGCTGCAGTTGGCAAACCGAAACCACCGCTCCAACCGACGACCCGCGCCACTGCCGCCTCCGGCGTCGCGTTCGTAGCTGCTACTCTCCCTCCGGCTCTGCCTTCATTGATTCGTGTAACCACCGTTTATTCCACTCCTCGATGAGAGAAGTAGAACTACTCTTTCCGGTCATTTTGCAAACGATTAATTTACTGATCTTGTTGCAAATAAGTATTATTGTACTTTGGTAAGCTAATTAATCCTTAATTCTTTGATGGTTGAACTCTTGGAAAAATATGCATGATAATGGTCTTGCTAATGTCATCTTGTAAGTAATATATAAAAATATTCTCTGTATAAATGGATAGCAAAAAAACTTGAGGAATGAAATTTCAAAAAAAAAATCGGATAAATTGCAAATTTTGGTCACTGGATTTACTAAAAAGTGTCATGTTTAGTCACTATAAATATTTAATTTCAATATTGGTCACTCTAATTAGTAAAACGGTCTACGTTTGATCATTCTCCGTTTGTCAACGTTAATGGAGTCCATTATGTGTTGACGTGGCAAACAGAATCGCCTAGTCAGCCTGATTTAATCGGAAAATAGTGAAATCCGACCCGCCACGGCATCACAACTTTAATTATTGATGGTGAAAAAAAAGAAAACAACAAATATTACATAATTTCTATGCCAGGGATTTGTAGCGGGATTAGCTGGGTACAGGTAAGTACAATAGTACTTGCTAGTAAGAAAGACTAATCATTTGGATTACTTTTCTAGCTACTTTGCTTTCATTTGGTTCACTGCATGAGGGTTAAGGAAGAATGACTGGAAAGCATTACTCCTTTTCATGGTGTCTTCCAATGAAGGAGTAGTCTCAAATTATTATTTTTTTTCCCTACCTAAATTTGCTCAAACAATGTCCAAAGCCGTGCTGCCGTTCAAACATGCTCGAGATTTGTTTTCCCGATCCTTTCTCTCACTTTTTCTGCTCTTCCACGGACCTTTCATCCATGAGTGGGAGCAAGTAAGAAAGTAGTGAACAAGTCAAGAGGCTGGGACAATGAGATCGAATCATGTGTCAAAAGCACCCGCGAGGAGGGACAAACGAGCATAAATCTCTGCAGTATTTTCCAAAAAGTTACGACAGTGAAAAAATATATAAAAAGAAGAAGCTAGTTATCAATTATCACCATTAGACTTAGACCTCCCTTTGCCAAGATTTGTTGCTGTATAACACTGCTGAACCAAATCTATCTCATCCACGAGTTTTACCTTTTACTGTTCAATCAAACAAAACAAAAGAAAAAGAACCTTTACCATGGGCAACTCGAATGCTCATTTCGTTAAAAAGGCAACCCTAATGCTCATTTTAGATTGTACAGAAATACAAACATGTAAAATGAATAACTATGAAATGGGTAATACTACTTACCATTTGGATTTTTTTTCCTTTTGTTGTTGAATGGAGGGATAGTTTGCTTCGTGGATTTGAAAAATGAAGATTTTGGTATAATTTGTGTTTTGAAAAATCATGGATATATGAGGGTTTTGGGTTCATTATGGATTTGAAAAACACCATTGTTTGTTTCCTGGATTTCATGATGAATTTTATTAATAAAATATGTAAGTATAAAGTTAAATTTACCTTTATTGCCCTTAATGATAGAAGAAGATAAGGGACTGGTTAGAGTGCTAACTTCATTGGAGTTAGCACCGTACTAACCACTATAATCACTGTTTATTATATTAATTAAAATATGATGCTGGAGAATAAGGAGGGGCATATTCGGTATATCAAAAAATTAATTTAATTAATAAATTAAATCTTAAAATATTTTATCTTCCTTTTAGTAGTAGGCCTGAAAAATAGTACCGTACACTACTGCTACATTCATCGGTAGTGATTTTGGTGGTTGTATTAGCAATTTTATTTGTTCTCGTAGTGATTTAATTGTAATTAGTAGTGATTTAGAAATTTTAAGTTACTCATGATGGGTGAACTTTAGAAAGTAATGATAACATAATCACTACTAATACGATTAGGTAGGAGTAAATCACTACTGGAATTACTACACGTCAAAGAAAAAACACTACTATCGTACAAATATGACTGCTCAACTGCTAATACATATGAAAATCACTACTCCACAATCACTACAAACCCAAAATGACTACTAATCAAATAAAAATATAGATCTAAAGGCGCCGGTAAGGGTGGGAAGCCAACGCAGGCAAGGGCGGCGGAAGTAAGGGCGCCGCATGTTCGTTTCTCTCCATCTAACGGCAACCTCTTCCCATATCTGGTTTTATCGAATCACTGCCGGTGATGGCGACGGGGCTGCAGGCGATGGCGCTGAACGCGTACAGGCGATGGCGAGGCGGTTGAAGGCGATGGCGAGGCGGTTGGCGATGTCGAGGCGGTTGCGGGCGATGGTGAGTCCGTTGCCGGGGAGGTTGAGGCCGGCACGACTAAGATCGATGAAGCCGTAGTCGACCGAAAGGAGAATCGTCGGAGATCAGAGAGCCGACCGGAAGGAGAATCGATGAAGGGGCTCTGAATTTTTTAGAGGGAGAGAGAGAGAGTGAGAGGGATGGGCGGTTGGGCGGCTGGGGAAGAAGGGGTGTGCGGCTGGGGAAAAATTGGTATTTATATTAGGGTTTGGTGGTATATTTACTAAATTGTCCTTTAGTTAGTATGGTGCTAACCCCATTAGGAGTTAGCACCTAATCCGGCTCCAGAAGATAAAGAAATATGAGGGGTAGATTGGTAAAAAATGATGGACTTCAAAGTCCATAATCAATTCCCAGTTAAAGAGGTGGGATTTGCAAGTCCGTGGGATGGATTGGACCCTCAAAGTCCGTGGGTCCCACGAATTTGTTACCTCTAAATGCTTGAAGCAAATAATGGATTTTGAACAAAGTTCATCATGGATCCAAATTCATCGCCAAAACCTTCACCAAATCCATCAAGAAAGCAAGCCCTATGTGATTTACAAGTTAAATAGTAATGCTTCTGTTGTCATGGGGGCGGCAGACCACTAGGCCAAGTTTAGGGGCTTGGCCACTTAGACCCAAAATCCAACCTAATAAGGCCCAACTAGCTCATTTAATTACTCATGTTGAGTTGGCCTTATAAATCCATTAAATCTTTCATAATTAATTAATGTGGTACAAGTTGATTTTTTTTATTGGTAAACAACCTCTATCAAAGAAATCAAGGGTTCAATTTCTCATCATCGTGTCCCGATTTGTTGTAGAATGCATGATCATATTGTTGATTATATAAAGTATAGGTAATTTTTTGTGTAATAGTACACTTAGGGTTGTACCATATATACTATGTTGTATGTTATGTCAAAGGCAAGCAATAAGAAAACCTAAAACCTGAGAGGGAGATCATCTTCGTGAACTAGTGCCATATTGATGATAGCACGTTAAAAAACCTCGTGTGTTCCTTCTCTTTCTCTTGATCTGCAACTATGAATGTTTGACACATATATCATACTATTTGAACTCTAAATCTTACGAACAAAATAATATGACATGAATAAGTAAATTAAGCAAGGTACGAGATTTTTATATGGCTCCGTAATAGCTACCCACACAAACTTATCATGTTTTTTTTTTGTTGCCATTTAATATTAGCTATATATATATAAATAGCCTAGGTTTGACCATAACAAATAATACATAACTTTTGTAAATACATTATTTTTTTCCTATACCTACAGGTATTCCGAATATCAACAGATGATCTAATATGTAGATTATTTCTCTACTTGTGAGGCCTGAGTCAAGATGAAATCAGCAAATGGTTGAGATCACTCCAAACAAGTTTGATCATATATCCTCATTAGCCCTATGAATGACATTGAGAAGGAAATCTCATTCAAACTTCAAAGGGTGAAACAAGGCCAACCCACAATACAACATTGAGAAAGTGAAATCTAGAGAGAGAAAGAGGGGCCAAGGTGTCCTTAGCAAGGACAACAACAAGGGCCTTAACCCCAATGGGTTTGCCCACCCCACCCCGTAGCACATACGTCCTTCCCCGTCCGCCCAATCGCCCCCACATACTCTCTCTCTCTCTCTCTCTCCTCCCAAATTCCACAATTGTCCCCATAAATACCCCTCCCAAATCCCCTTTCCCTTCCTCCTCTTCCCAAACCCAAAAGTGAACAGGAAAAAAACCCTCTCAATCCAACCCACACAAAAAGAAGAAGAAAAAAAAAACCCAACACCCACTGAATACTCTGTTCCTGAAAATGGCCAACAGGAAATCATCAAACAAGCTCCCACAGACGGCCGTAATCAAGCAAATCCTCAAGAGATGCTCCAGCCTGGGCAAGCGCAACGGCTACCACGACGGCACCTGCGGCGGCCTCCCGCTCGACGTCCCCAAGGGCCACTTCGTCGTCTACGTCGGCGAGAACCGGAGTAGGTACATTGTCCCCATTTCCTTCCTCACCCGACCCGAGTTCCAGACCCTGCTCCACCAGGCCGAGGAAGAGTTTGGGTTCGACCACGACATGGGTCTGACCATCCCTTGCGAAGAAGTCGTCTTCCAGTCCTTAACTTCCATGCTCTCCGCCTAGCCAATAACAACAACAAGAAGAAGAAGAAGAAGAATACTTGTTGGGAGTGAGTGATTCGGGGCTTCTTCTTTTTTTGAGGTACTAGAAGAGTAATTTGGACGAACTTGGGGGGAGAGATTGTTGATGAAAGCTGCTTAACTTGCTTCTCACTTTCTTTCTGAATTCCAAACTCTCAGTCTCCTACCTCTTTTCTTTTTTTTTCCTTCTCATTTGACGAATTTTATCCGACTCGAACCGGACCGGACCCGTTTTATTTTTGGTTGGGGAGGGGTTGCTGCTGATGCCTTGTAAATCTGTGGAGGTGTGCTAGAGTTGGTTGGATTTTGGTTCGAGGAGACGGGGGTTGGACCGTAATTAAAATTGACTGCTGGGGTTTGGATGTATTGGTTACGCAGTACGCTCCTTGACTCTCTAATGATCGTGATTATAGAAAAAAAGATTGTTAGCCCCAAAGTGATGACTAATGACGATTATGGATACGAGGTGCATTGGTTCTTGGGGGGACTTGGGTCCTCGTGCCTTTTGATTATGTTTGCTTGCTTGTTTCACTTGATTACGGGATCTTGTCTTTTAGCTTTAGGTGTAAGTAAGTTAAGTGCAGGGCAGGGCTACAGTTTATTTCGGTTGTGAAAATTGTTCTAAACCGACACCTACCCGCCGAATGTTTTTGTCAAGTGGGCAAAACTGGAGAAATTCGATTTCAATTAATGAACAAACAAACAAAAAAAAACTAAAATTATTAAAGCCTGCCTGAGAAAATTGCTGGGCTTGTGGCAAAAATTTCAACCTAGGCCAATGGAAGTTGTTTTGTTTTTTTTTTTACAGTGAGTTAAATAAAACTGAGTGAGGAGTTTGCTACTTTGAAAATGAACGGGGTTGAATATTGATCCCACCCAAACCCAGTTACCTGCCAACTGCTTTACAGTTACTCGAGGGCTACTAGAGGCTAGGCTTCATCGAGCAGTTAAAATGATACCTTGGAGATAAAATAAAATAAAATAAAAAGAAGAAAAGAGGGGGTGAAGAGGAAGGGGAAAGGGCAGTGATGGGTCGCTGTCGAGTCCGTAGCCCATGTGGGGTTGTGGGGCCCAATGGCGTAGGATTGGGGTGGGGCGACTTGGATCGCCACAATCAACGGGTCGACAGGAAAATCGGGCCCACCTCGGAAATCGATGGCTCAGATTGGTCTCTGTGGAGTCACAGGCTACCGTGGTACTTTGACTACTCTACTATGGAGTGTGGTTGGCCGTTGCCTGGGGGTTGGGATTGGGGTAGACTTTGTTTTTCTACTCTGCTTTGGTCTCAAATTGGGACAACTTAAATAGTAATTTTTGTATCGAGATAAAATTGAGGTTTGGATCGGACAATATTGAATTGTGATTTTGTTTTTGGTTCTAAGAAACTAAAAAAATAAACCGATTTACTTTTTGATGATATCAAATCGGATCAAACATAATATTAGTCTAATTATTAATTTTAAATTGTCTTTCACTATTCAATCATGGTTCTTATAAATTTTATCTTTCAGTTCGTTCACGAGAGCGATGGATATTGGGTTGCTTGTTGATTTTGGATTGTTAAAAAGAAGGATTGATGGGGTTGATCAAACTTCTATAGGTCATATCTTTGATGTTTAATAATAATGATTATTAGTCCCAACCAGCTCTTTTTTTTTTTGGTAGAACCAACCAGCTCATTTGCAAACACGATTAGCAACGAATTGAATGTCAATTGTCAAATGCTTTCTATCTATGTGATTTAGGATGCTTTCTATTGATGATTATGATTTGTGATTTATTACAAATCATATAATACTTATATCAAGTCACCAATTAATGTGGATCATTTCATTTTTTAATCATTTTTAGTATAGAATTTGAACTATAAATACCATAGTATCTTATTTACTTTTTTTTTTTTATTAAATGGATGCACCTGCACCCTACCTTTCATTCATAATCACCCGGGGTTCGGAGATCCCCTGAACATCATACAAGATCCAGTTATACAGGATAGGATCTGTGACCGGAAACAAATGAACACCCAAAGGTACATGGTGGCCTCTACTAGCAAGATAGTCGGCACTCTTATTGCCTTCTCTGTAAATGTGGGCAATTTCAACCTCCCACTGTCTCTGAAGCAGCTCAATAGCTCTATCAATGATGGCTGCATGGTGATGCTCCGATGAGTCTGGACTCCGTAGCAGCTGTACCGCACAAGAGGAGTCCAACTCAAGTCTGACATGTCTATAACCAGCATCCCAAGCCAACTGAAGTCCTTCTACAGCGCCCCTCAACTCTGCCCGGGTGATAGAGCACAACCCCAGGTTCATCACAAATGCCTGAAGGCAGCTGCCCGTATGATCTCTTAACAGGCCACCAGCTGCGGCGTGACCTGAATCATGAACGACGGAGCCGTCTGTGTTGAGGGTGACCCACTCAGGAGGTGGCGGCTTCCACGAGAATAGTATCTTATTTACTAATTTCAATGCAATAGTAATTCCTTCATAATGATCGATTTTTTTCTTTCTAAAAAATTCAAGTTAATCGACACTTATTTGAATGTATCAAATACATCTCACCAAAAAAAAAAAATGTATCAAATACACCAAATCAGATCGTAAAATTGACTAGAAAATGAAAGGCTTGCACGAAATGCACTACATAGCTTATAGTTAAGTACTCTTTTCACCCTATGTACTCTTATAGGTTGGACCTAAACCTGATTAGGCTAAAAGAGTGGGTGGGCAGAAAATAAAGTGAATTGGAATGGAACTATCGATCAACATTTCACTACTAAGTGGAGAACCAGTGGTTAGCATTGGAAATTAGTAACCATCATCAAGAAAGTGGGTTGAGAGGGAGATGGATGGAAGATATTTTCGTGTCGTTTTTTGTGAAATATTTTATTCAAGAATTTTAACAGGCCCTACAGCGATGTTGGTTTAGTGTTCGGATTAGTCCACTGGTTACGTAGGCCCAATTCATAGTCGTACTAACCGGACCGTTGGTTGCCCTACATGTTCAAGGCTTTCAAGTTCATTGATTTCAATAAAATCCGAACCGATCTCCCACTTGACCCGACCATTGATTTAACTATTAGCCTGCAGCCGTTGTATTTGACTTCCCCCCATAATTAGGTTACGAAATGTTTATGTGAAGTAAACCGGTTGGTCACTGGTCAACCACTGGGAGCCTAGCTAAGCAGTTAATTAAAGGAAGATTTCATAGTAGTCGAAGGGTTTGGGTTCCAAGGTGAGTTCGTTTTATATATAAGATTCATGTACTTAGAATGCATATTTCGGTCAGTCACTACTATTAGTTGGTCTTTTTTTAATTCAAAGACTTGTGGTAGCAGAATCACAAGAGAAAGGCATCAAATCCTCTTCGAAGCATGCATGTATGTCACTTGTTCGAACAAGAACAAAAATAGAAGTTTCTTTGATTTGTTTCTTAACAGTTTATAAATTCATTTTACGTCAAATTTTGTTGTGACAATTGGCGATTGATATACAAGCCCCATTTTAATTAATGAAAGTTAGAGGCGGGGACGAGGAAGGTTGTAATACCTTTCGAATTACACGTAGCTCTATCTATCATTGATTATATATAAAGATAGGATAAATTGCAAGTTTGGTCACTCAAATTACTAGAAAGTTTCATGTTTGTCAATAAAATTACTTTATTTCATTGTTGATCACTAAGATTAGTTCAACAGTTCAAGTTTAGTCACTCTCCGTTAATTTTTTCCTGATAGGATAGTCAACTCTTATAATTGACTGTTAAATGAGTGACGTGGCAATTAAAAAATGAATAAAAAATAAATTTAATCTTTCACAATTTCCAACTATGAAAATAATAAAACAAAAAAATAATTATAATTATCACAATCTTCCTCAACCCACCATCGTCTTCAACCTAACGGCGGCATCAATACCTTTTCTTCCTCCGCCGCAGCCACCCCGACGCCGACATAGAATCCGATTGCCGAGTCGTGGTAGATATGTCGGCACCTCGTTGTCGTCGCTTCATTCCCCCTCGCCACCCTCTTCGGTTCCTGCAACGGGATGGTCTGCCTCGGTTGCACCATGGTCGAACATATCTGCATCATCAACCCGGCTACCCGAGAGCACCACCTCGCCGAGGCTCCCATACCCAACGTGTTCACGACCCGACAACGTGATGTGGGTTACTCAATGTGTTGGCCGTGTGCCGGGTACATGTTAGGGTACAATTTAGCGTCTGGCGATTACAAACACGTCAGTGTCACCTGGTTGTTGACCAGAACACCAAATGAAGATTTGAGTTCTTCAGCTTCGGGATTAGGTCGAATACCTGGGAGAGGTAGGGCATCTGGAAACTCCTGCTTGCGGGGATTAATTAGAAATTAATTAGGCCCCGTTTGGATTGAGGATTTTAATACGAGAGATTTATAAGGATTTGGACCCAAATTCCTCGTTTAAATAACCAGAAAATTTAAATGAGTTATTTGGCCAATTTGCTTGTTTGTTTCGATATGTAGGATTTAGACCCCCAATTATACAATTATCAATTTGACCTCATCCCCTTCCTCCTCCACCACTTCTCGCCAAAGCCAGGCCTAAAAATTCAGCCGGCAGATTTTCGGCGACTTCACTGTATAGAAAACCCTTAGAGGGTTAGGGTTCTAGGAAGAAGAAGATAAATGAGGCGGTATGATTGGGCGAACCCGCAAAGAAGGCTCTTTCTACTGCTTCTCATTATATACTGATCAAGCAGGGTAAAACCAGAGTAAAGTTCTCAAACAGTAAAAATGGAAAAGTATGTTAAACTGAAAATCAAAACACAGTAATAAAACGATGCCAGGTGTCTTCATTCGGTTGGCCTTCTTCAACTCCACCCAACGGTAAGTAGAGCCTCCACGACGTCGCTTTGGATCTTCTCTCTGTCGGATGGAGTGTAAGGCAGAAACGTAGAAACGTTTCTGCCCTGTTGATTCTGCAACTCTGCTTCTTCTTCATT